CTGAGGGACACAGACACTTAGGGACACAGAACCGTTACTTAGGGCCACAGAAGTTTACTTAGGGACACAGAATTGTTACTCAGGGACAGACACAGAATTGTTACTGAGGGACACAGAATTGTTACTGAGGGCACAGAACCGTTACTTAGGGCCACAGAAACGTTACTTAGGGACACAGAATTGTTACTACAGGGACAGACACAGAATTGTTACTGAGGGACACAGAATTGTTACTACGAGGGGACCACAGAACCGTTACTTAGGGCCACAGAAACGTTACTTAGGGCACAGAATTGTTACTCAGGGAGGGACACAGAATTGTTACTTCAGGGACAGACACAGAATTGTTACTCAGGGACAGACACAGAATTGTTACTCAGAATTGTTACAGACACAGAATTGTTACTGAGGGACACAGAATTGGTTTACTCACAGAATTGTTACTGAGGGACAGACACTCAGACACAGAATTGTTACTCAGGGACACAGAATTGTTACTCAGGGACACAGAATTGTTACTGAGGGCACACAGAATTGTTACTCAGGGACACAGAATTGTTACTGAGGGACACAGAATTGTTACTGAACAGAATTGTTACTCCAGGGACACAGAATTGTTACTGAGGGCACACAGAATTGTTTGTACTCAGGGACACAGAATTGTTTACTCAGGGACACAGAATTGTTTTACACAGACACAGAATTGTTACTGAGGGACACAGAATACACAGAACAGAATTGTTACTGAGGGACAGACACAGAATTGTTACTCAGGGACACAGAATTGTTACTCAGGGACACAGACACAGAATTGTTACTCAGGGACACAGACACAGACACAGAATGTTACTGAGGGACACAGAATTGTTACTGAGGGACACAGAATTGTTACTGAGGGACACAGAATTGTTACTCAGGGACTCTCAGACACAGAATTGTTACTCAGGGACAGGGACACAGAATTGTTACTGAATTGTTACTCAGGGACAGACACAGAATTGTTACTGAGGACACAGAATTGTTACTGAGGGACACAGAATTGTTACTCAGGTTACAGACACAGAATTGTTACTCAGGGAGCACAGGTACAGACACAGAATTGTTACTCAGGGACACAGAATTGTTACTTAGGGACAGACACAGAATTGTTACTGAGGGACAGACACAGAATTGTTACTGAGGGACAGACACAGAATTGTTACTGAGGGACAGACACAGAATTGTTACTCAGGGACACATTGTTACTGAGGGACACAGAATTGTTACTTAGGGACACAGAATTGTTACTCAGGGACACAGAATTGTTACTGAGGGACACAGAATTGTTACTCAGGGACACAGAATTGTTACTCCAGGGACACACAGAATTGTTACTGAGGGACACAGAATTGTTAGGGACACAGAATTGTTACTCAGGGACAGACAGAAATTGTTACTCAGGGACACACAGAATTGTTACTCAGGGACACAGAATCGTTTAATTAAAGAGTATGTCAGACAACATGCAGAGGAGTGGCAGAGGAGGCAATGTTTTAGGAGCGAGCAGACGTGGCAGCAGAGGAAGGGGTCGAGGCAGCACTAGTCGCAGCCAGAGGCCAGTGCTCCCGGTGTCATCCAGCGGTCGTGTCTCCACCGACAACCCTGCCGTCATCGATTGGTTGGCTCGGTCGTCTTCCTCTTCCCAGGTCACCTCTGACACCTACAGCCAACGGTCGGTGGGTACGTCAGACACAACCGTTAGTTGGCATGGCCCGGGAGCAAGCCCACTGAAATCACGTGTCCTCGACCTGCCCCTGTCCTTTGGTGTTCCCTCACCAAGCGAAGTATCGCATGCTGTGGGCTCAGCCCCACTGTACAGTGAGGAAGAGCTAACAGAGGGCGGTCAGGAACGGGGGGAGACATCCGCCTCTTCAGCAGCCAGGCGAAGAAGTAGTGGCGAGGAGAGTGGCTCGGTAGCCGGTCTAGAGACAGGTCTGTCTCCTGACCCACACGCAGCCGAGGGGCTAGTAGTGAGGCGGAGACCCTAATTGATGATGATGAGGCTGATCGCACTTGGCAGCCTCGTCGTCATCAGGCTATTGCTTCCGCATCATCAGGAGAAGAGGGTGGCAGCTTGGCAGCGAGCAAAACAGTCGGTGGGTTGCCCAGGAGGCAGCAGGGTCGCAGCAGTGTCAGTGGAGGCAAACGGCCACAGAGTAGAGCACCAGCTCCACTGCAGCCTACCACCACGGCCAGTAGTGGTGCCGGTGTGCACGGAGGAAGTAGCAGTCAGCCAGTGAGGAGTATCGGGGGCAAAGTTTCCTACTCGGCGGTGTGGCAATTTTTCGTCAAGCCGCCCGAGGAAGTAAACGTAGCCGTATGTCGACTATGTGGCCAGAAAGTCAAGCGTGGCCAGGGGGCCCATGTTGGGACTACAGCGTTGCGGCAGCATATGCAGTGTCGCCATTTGGTGGCCTGGGAAAACCGTGATAAAGATACGGCGGTTCTGCCTGCCCCAGCCCCCGCTCCATCACCCGCTCCGTTACTTGCTCCGTCACCCGACGTCAATTGCCCTCTATCAGCCAGTCAAGGCTCCACACCTCTGCTGAGGGGAGTTGTCGCTCGTTGGCATCTTCCGCTCGTTCAGATGCTCCTTCTCCTGCTACTCCTCTTCACGGATTCCGTCAGCAGTCTTTCTTGGAATCCGTTTCCAAGAGACAACAGTTTGCGAGCACGCACCCGACGGTGCAGAAGCTGAACGTCCTCCTGTCCAAGTTGCTGGTGCTGCAGTCCCTCCCTTTCCAAGTGGTGGACTCAGCACCTTTCCGAGAAATGATGGCTTGTGCCGCGCCGCGGTGGAGAGTGCCAAGCCGTCATTTCTTCGCCAAAAAGGCAGTGCCAGCCCTGCATTCACATGTAGAAGAGATGGTGGGCCAGTCTTTGAGCATGTCGGTCTCTGCCAAAGTGCACGGCAGCGCCGACGTGTGGAGCTGTAACTACGGTCAGGGACAGTACATGTCATTTACGGCCCACTGGGTGAACGTGGTGCCGTGACAGCCGCACCAGCAACTTGGACAGGTCACGCCGCTTTTGCCTCCACGTTTGCACGTCCTTGGTCCACAAAAGATGTCCGCCTCTACCACCTCTTCTTCCTTCGTGTCCTCAGCCGCCACCCCCCCGTGCCAAGTCCCATTACCCGACCGGCATATCACATGTGCAGGGCGCAACGGTGTCACGCTGTGCTGCACCTGGTATGCCTTGGCGAACGTAGTCACACAGGGGAGGAACTTCTGAGTGTAATGAACAGAGAAATCGACAGATGGCTGTCTCCGCGCAAACTGAAAATCGGAACCATGTTGACCGACAACGGAAAGAACATGGTGTCTGCTCTGCGTCAAGGAAGGTTGTGCCATGCGCCATGCATGGCTCACGTGTTCAATCTGGTTGTCAAGCGGTTCCTAAAATCCACCATCCCACTGCAAGACATCCTTAAAATGTCACGTAAACTTTGCATGCATTTCAGCCATTCCTACACCGCAAAGCACACCCTCCTTGAGCTGCAGCGGCAGAACGGAATTCCACAGCATCGCCTGATCTGCGACGTTGCAACAAGGTGGAATTCAACCCTACACATGTTAGACCGCCTTTACGAACAGCGAAAGGCCATCACCGATTTCCTGATGTTACAAGCGGATAAAGGTACTCCCCTGTGTAACTTCGATGTCAGCCATTGGCAGCTCATGCGTGACACCTGCCGCTTGCTCAGGCCCTTTGAGGAGGCCACGCTATTCGTGAGTCGGCAGGACTATGGGATGAACGACGTCATTCCTCTGTTGCACGTCCTGGAACAAATGCTGTTAACAATGGCTGGTCAGGGTGCGGTAGACGTGGCGCACAGATCTCAACGCCACATGACCCCTGTGGGGGCAGGACAGGAAGAAGAGGAGGAGGTAGAGGAGGACATTTGTGCTCAGGAATTATTGAGTGAAATGGGGTGGTTTTTTCCACTCAGCGGACAGGAGTGGAGGAGCAGGAGCATCTGGTAGAGGAGGAGGAGGAGGAGACAGAGGACCCAGACGCACCGTGGCAGTATGCTGTGGAGATGGAGGCAGGGAGTCCCTCGCATTCCTTGGCACAAATGGCCCATAGCATGCTCGGTTTGCTTGCGTAGCGACAGCCGAATATAACCATCAGACAGAGGGATGACTTTTGGCTGTCCACCTTGTTGGACCCTCGCTACCGTTCAAAAATGGTGGCCTTTTTCACACCTGCTGAGAGGGAGGCCAAAATAACGTACTATAAAAACCACCTATGTAGTCAGTTGGTCTCTGCCTTTGTGCGCCAACGTCCATCCTCAGACACTGTGGGCCCTGTGCGCTCGCGTTCCGCTGCCATGGCAGCAGGGGAGGGGTGGGGTGGTGGTAGGAGCAGTGGCAGCTCCACCAGCAGCGGCTGCCTCAGTCTGCAGTCGATGATGAGTAGCTTTCTTCACCAGCGCAGTGAGGAAACTACTAACCAGCCGCCGCAGCAGCAGCAGCATCAGGTGGACCTGGAGCAGGACCTCAAACAACAGGCTTGGGCCTACTTGGACAGCACCCTGCCAACCGAGGTAGACAATCCCCTTGACTACTGGGCAACGAAACTTGACCTTTGGCCCCAACTAGCTGAATTTGCCCTTGAAAGGCTGTCATGCCCGGCCAGTAGCGTGGCATCGGAGCGCGTGTTTAGTGCGGCAGGAGGTATTGTAACTCCGCGGAGGACACGACTGTCCACCCAAAGTGTGGAGAGACTCACGTTTGTGAAAATGAATCAGGCGTGGATTAGTCTGGATTTCAAACCACCAGTTCCTGACACAACTGACTAAATCCGCCATGAATCATGCCCCAAACATGTGCCACTTTCAGGTCTCCTCACACACTGCTGGTGTGTTTCCATTTTTTGTCATAGGGTGCTGGCAGATTACGGGCCTCCCATTGCTGCTGCCAGGCCCCTAATCTGCCATGGGCCCCTGTACCGCCTCCTCATGCTGCTGCCAGGTCCAGAGTGTCTCATGGGTCCCTGTACGGCCTCCCATTGCTGCTGTCTCCATCGCCACACTCTGCCATGTGCCACTTTCAGGTCTCCTCACACACTGCTGGTGTGTTCCATTTTTTGTCATAGGGTGCTGGCAGATTACGGCCTCCCATAGCTGCTGCCAGGCCCCTAATCTGCCATGGGCCCCTGTACCGCCTCCTCATGCTGCTGCCAGGTCCAGAGTCTCTCATGGGTCCCTGTACGGCCTCCCATTGCTGCTGTCTCCATCGCCACACACTCTGCCATGTGCCACTTTCAGGTCTCCTCACACTGCTGGTGTGTTCCATTTTTTGTCATAGGGTGCTGGCAGATTACGGGCCTCCCATAGCTGCTGCCAGGCCCCTAATCTGCCATGGGCCCCTGTACCGCCTCCTCATGCTGCTGCCAGGTCCACAGTGTCTCATGGGTCCCTGTACGGCCTCCCATTGCTGCTGTCTCCATCGCCACACTCTGCCATGTGCCACTTTCAGGTCTCCTCACACTGCTGGTGTGTTCCATTTTTTGTCATAGGGTGCTGGCAGATTACGGGCCTCCCATAGCTGCTGCCAGGCCCCTAATCTGCCATGGGCCCCTGTACCGCCTCCTCATGCTGCTGCCAGGTCCACAGTCTCTCATGGGTCCCTGTACGGCCTCCCATTGCTGCTGTCTCCATCGCCACACTCTCTGCCATGTGCCACTTTCAGGTCTCCTCACACTGCTGGTGTGTTCCATTTTTTGTCATAGGGTGCTGGCAGATTACGGGCCTCCCATTGCTGCTGCCAGGCCCCCCTAATCTGCCATGGGCCCCTGTACCGCCTCCTCATGCTGCTGCCAGCCAGGTCCCTGTACGGCCTCCCATTGTGCTGTCTCCATCGCCACACTCTGCCATGTGCCACTTTCAGGTCTCCTCACACTGCTGCTGGTGTTTCCATTTTTTGTCATAGGGTGCTGGCAGATTACGGGCCTCCCATAGCTGCTGCCAGGCCCCTAATCTGCCATGGGCCCCTACCGCCTCCTCATGCTGCTGCCAGGTCCAGAGTCAGAGTCTCTCATGGGTCCCTGTACGGCCTCCCATTGCTGCTGTCTCCATCCATCGCCACACTCTGCCATGTGCCACTTTCAGGTCTCCTCACACTGCTGGTGTGTGTTCCATTTTTTGTCATAGGGTGCTGGCAGATTACGGGCCCTCCCATTGCTGCTGCCAGGCCCCTAATCTGCCATGGGCCCCTGTACCGCCTCCTCATGCTGCTGCCAGGTCCAGAGTCCCAGAGTCTCTCATGGGTCCCTGTACGGCCTCCCATTGCTGCTGTCTCCATCGCCACACTCTGCCATGTGCCACTTTCAGGTCTCCTCACACTGCTGGTGTGTTCCATTTTTTTGTCATAGGGTGCTGGCAGATTACGGGCCTCCCATTGCTGCTGCCCAGGCCCCTAATCTGCCATGGGCCCCTGTACCCGCCTCCTCATGCTGCTGCCAGGTCCACAGAGTCCTCATGCTGCCCTGCCAGGTCCACAGTGTCTCATGCCATGTGCCACTTTCAGGTCTCCTCACACTGCTGGTGTGTTCCATTTTTTGTCATAGGGTGCTGGCAGATTACGGGCCTCCCATATGCTGCTGCCAGGCCCCCTAATCTGCCATGGGCCCCTGTACCGCCTCCTCATGCTGCTGCCAGGTCCACAGTGTCTCATGGGTCCCTGTACGGCCTCCCATTGCTGCTGCTGTCTCCATCGCCACACTCTGCCATGTGCCACTTTCAGGTCTCCTCACACTGCTGGTGTGTTCCATTTTTTGTCATAGGGTGCTGGCAGATTACGGGCCTCCCATGCTGCTGCTGCCAGGCCCCTAATCTGCCATGGGCCCCTGTCCAGACCGCCTCCTGTACGGCCTCATTGCTGCTGTCCCATCGCCACAGTGTCTCTATGCCATGTGCCACTTTCAGGTCTCCTCACACTGCTGGTGTGTTCCATTTTTTGTCATAGGGTGCTGGCAGATTACGGGCCTCCCATAGCTGCTGCCAGGCCCCTAATCTGCCATGGGCCCCTTACCGCCTCCTCATGCTGCTGCCAGGTCCAGAGTCTTCTCATCATGGGTCCCCTACGGCCTCCCATTGCTGCTGCCAGGAGGCAGCAGGGTCGCAGCAGTGTCAGTGGAGGCAAACGGCCACTTTCAGTAGAGCACCAGCTCCACTGCAGCCTACCACCACGGCCAGTAGTGGTGCCGGTGTGCACACGGAGGAAGTAGCAGTCAGCCAGTGAGGAGTAGTCAAAAAGTTTTACCTACTCGGCGGTGTGGCAATTTTTCGTCAAGCCGCCCGAGGAAGTACGTAACCTCATAGCCGTATGTCGACTATGTGGCCAGAAAGTCAAGCGTGGCCAGGGGGCCCATGTTGGGACTACAGCGTTGCATCAGCATATGCAGCTGTCGCCATTCGGTGGGCCTGGGAAAACCGTGATAAAGATACGTGCGGTTCTGCCTGCCCCAGCCCAGGGTTCCATTTTGTCATAGGGTGCTGGCAGATTACGGGCCTCCCATTGCTGCTGCCAGGCCCCTAATCTGCCATGGGCCCCTGTACCGCCTCCTCATGCTGCTGCCAGGTCCACAGTGTCTCATGGGTCCCCTGTACGGCCTCCCATTTGCTGCTGTCTCCATCGCCACACTCTGCCATGTGCCACTTTCAGGTCTCCTCACACTGCTGGTGTGTTCCATTTTTTGTCATAGGGTGCTGGCAGATTACGGGCCTCCCATAGCTGCTGCCAGGCCCCTAATCTGCCATGGGCCCCAGTACCACCTCCTCATGCTGCTGCCAGGTCCACAGGCTCTCATGGGTCCCTGTACGGCCTCCCATTGCTGCTGTCTCCATCGCCACACTCTGCCATGTGCCACTTTCAGGTCTTCTCACACTGCTGGTGTGTTCCATTTTTTGTCATAGGGTGCTGGCAGATTACGGGCCTCCCATTGCTGCTGCCAGGCCCTAATCTGCCATGGGCCCCCGTACCGACTCCTCATGCTGCTGCCAGGCCCGTAATCTGTCATGGGCCCCTGTTGTCGCTTGTTGGCATATTCCGCTCGTTCAGATGCTTCTTCTCCTGCTACTCCTCTTCACGGATTCCGTCAGCAGTCTTTCTTGGAATCCGTTTCCAAGAGACAACAGTTTGCGAGCACGCACCCGACGGTGCAGAAGCTGAACGTCCTCCTGTCCAAGTTGCTGCTGCCAGGCTCGTAATCTGTCATGCGCCCCTGTACCGCCTCCTCATGCTGCTGCCAGGTCCAGAGTGTGTCATGGGCCCCCGTACCGACTCCTCATGCTGCTGCCAGGCCCGTAATCTGTCATGGGCCCCTGTACCCGCCTCCTCATGCTGCTGCCAGGTCCAGGGTGTCATGGGTCCCTGTACGGCCTCCCATTGCTGCTGCCAGGCCCGTAATCTGCCATGGGCCCCCGTACCAACTCCTCATGCTGCTGCCAGGCCCGTAATCTGTCATGGGCCCCTGTACCGCCTCCTCATGCTGCTGCCAGGTCCAGAGTGTGTCATGGGTCCCTGTACAGCCTCCCATTGCTGCTGTCTCCATCGCCACACTCTGCCATGTGCCACTTTCAGGTCTCCTCACACTGCTGGTGGGTTCCATTTTGTCATAGGGTGCTGTATGGCCTCCCATTGCTGCTGCCTCCACCGCCACACTGTGGCTCCACACTCTGGTTTTGGCCCCGTGACTGCCTGCCAAATGAGTGAAGTGTGCGGTGATTCTAAGATCGACGGCACTCATCTGCATGTCATACTGACTGACAGTATTATTTTTCTTCCCCAGCAGACTCCAAGGGCATTTAAATTAAAGGTACAGTGTTCTGCACTAATATAAAGGCTCTCTGAAGCCTAGAAACACCCTTTTATAAGTTAAATTCGCAGCGAATATATTCGACTCGAATCAAAATTTTTTCACGAATTCGCCGAATCGGTCGAATCGAATTTTTGAATAATTCGCTCATCTCTAATTAACATGCTCATTTCCCCATGGTGGAAATCTGCATGTACATTTATGTGCACTAACAACTGCCAGTCTCACTTTAACAATCAGTAATTATTAATTGTTTTGCCACTGATCAGTTTGATGGCTTTATCTTGATTTTTTTTTTTTTCCTATAGCTTTTAGATCTGTTCTGGCTATTAATTCTACCTTTCAATTTGGGCCTATTAAGCCTTGTTTACACTTGACTAAAATTTGGCATTGGACACACTTTTTTTTTTCCAAGCACACTGAATGCCAATCAAAGTGCCTCTCACTAAATAAAATGGTTATCTTACAGTACTGTTTACACAATGTGTTTGCTTTGCTTTAAAAATGATACCCCATGTTGCTTTCTTGGTGCTTCAAAGCATCTCCAAAGCCTCAATAGAAGTCTATGATAAAGCTCACAAACAGCACCTGTAGGTTTTGAGAGGCTTTTATTCAGAGTTAGCTTTGCTTTGTTTTGGAGATATTGCAGGCATGAGATATCCCAGGATGCACTGGGAAACCAACAAGCGAACCAGAAAGATGTCATCAGTAGTTACTTCTGGTTCATGTGTATATATATTGTGGTTGTGTCCAGTGCAGACATCACATCTGGTGCAGTGTGAAGCAGCAGGAAGATGAGTGGAGTCTTGATTGGAGCAGAGAAGCTAGCAGACGGCACACCCGGTGTGCAATATGGGAACACTATAACGGAAGGTGACTGTGGAGAGAACTGCAGAGGATCAGCAGAGCTGGTGGACTGAATCAGGAGAAACTAGCAGATGTCACATGTGGGGCACAGCATGGGAACAGTATCAGGATCAGCAAACAAGAGGGGATCAGTAAAGTGAGTCGGGCATCAGCAGACCTGGAGGTACTACTGAGCAGGGGATCTGCTGCACAAGGGTACTAGTAAGCTGGGGATCTGCTGTACTGGGGTACTAATGAGATGGCTAACTGCTGAACAAGGGTACTAATGAGCTTGGGATCTGCTGAGTGGGGTTTCTGCTGAGCTGGGATTCTACTGAGCCTCCTTAAAACAAATAGAAATTCAACACACATAGGGGCATTTTTCAAGCTTCATTAAAGCGGTTGTAAGGTCCAAGGTTTTTTACCTTCATGCATTCTATGTATGAAGGTAAAAAACCTTCTGTGTTCAGCAGTGCCACCAGCCCCCAGCCCCCTCAGTACTTACTTGAACCTCAATGAGATCCAGCGATGTGCACGACAGCCTCAGCTGTCCCAGGTTTCTGCCTCCTCATTGGCTGAGACAGCAAACAGGGGCCATTGGCTCCCGCTGTTGTCAACCACAGCCAGTTAGCCAATGAGGAGAAAGGGGGCAGTGCCAAGTCATGGGTTTGTGTGTGAATGGAGACACGAAGCAGCAGGTGCCCCCATAGCAAGCTGCTTGCTATGGGGGCACCTGACAGAAAGGAGGAGCCAGGAGAGCCTGCGGGGGACCCGACAAGAGGAGGATCTAGGCTGTACTGTTGAAACACAGAGCAGGTAAGTATAGACAAGTTTGTTATTTTACAAAA